CTTTCTCAGCCTGTCTTCATACAGGAGGCGCTCCAGTCCCTGATCATCCTTGTGGCCTCCTCTGGACTTGTTCCAACAGTTCCATGTCCTTTTTATGTCGAGGACACCAGAACTGCACACAATGCTCCAGGTGAGGTCTCACGAGAGCAGAGCAGAGGGGCAGGATCACCTCCTTCGACCTGCTGGTCACGCCCCTTTTGATGCAGCCCAGGATACGGTTGCTTTCTGGGCTGCAAGCGCACACTGGACCCGGCTCATGTTCATTTTCTCATCAACCAACACCCCCAAGTCCTTCTCCTTGGGCTGCTCAGAATCTCTTCTCCGCCCAACCTGTAGCTGTGCCTGGGATTGCTCTGACCCAGGTGTAGGACCTTGCACTTGGCATGGTTAAACTTCATGAGGTTGGCATCAGCCCACCTCACAAGTGTGTCAAGGTCCCTCTGGATGGCATTCCTTCCCTCCAGGGTATCAACCGAACCACACAGCTCGGTGTCATCGGTAAACTTGCTGAGGGCGCACTCAATCCCACTGTCCATGTCTGCGACAAAGATGTTGAACAAGACCGGTCCCAACACAGATCCCTGAGGGACACCACTCGTTACTGGTCTCCTGTTGGACATTGAGCCATTGACCACAACTCTTTGCGTGCAGCCATCCAGCCAGTTCTTTATCCACCGAGTGGTCCATCCATCAAATTGATGTCTCTCCAATTTAAGAGACAAGGATGTCGTGTGGGACAGTGTCGAACGCTTTACACAAGTGCAGGTAGATGACATCAACTGCTCTACCCCTGTCCATCAGTTCTGTAGCCCCATCATAGAAGGCCACCAAATTGGTCAGGCAGGATTTCCCCTTAGTGAAGCCATGCTGGCTGTCACCAAGCACCTTGTTGATTTTCATGTGCCTTAGCATGTCTTCCAGGAGAATCTGCTCCAAGATTTTGCCAGGCACAGAGGTGAGACTGACTGCTCTGTAGTTCCCTGGGGCATCCATTTCCCCCTTCTTGAAAATGGGGGTTGTATTTCCCTTTTTCCAGTCTTTGGGAACTTCACCTCACTGCCATGATTTCTCAAATATGATGGACAGTGGCTTCACAACTTCATTCTCCAGCTCCTTCAGGACCCGCGGATGGATCTCATCAGGACCCATGGATTTGTGCATGTTCAGGTTCTTAAGATGGTCTTGAACCAGATCCTTTCCTACAGTGGCCCAAGGTCTTCATTCTCACAGTCCCTGCGTCTGCCTTCCAAGACTTGGGTGGTGTGGTCAGAGCCTTTGCCAGTGAAGATTGAGGCAAAGAAGTCATTGAGAACCTCAGCCTTCTCCAAATGCAGGGTAGCCAGTTCTGGTAGCTTCTGGAAAGGACCCATTTTATCCCCAGTCTGTCTTCTGTTTGCTACATACCTATAGAATCCCTTCCTGTTATCTTTCACATCCCTTGCCAGACTCAATTCTAACTGGGCCTTAGCTTTCCTGACTTGGTCCCTAGCTTCCTGAACAACATCCCTGTATTCTTTCCAGGCCACCTGTCCTTGCTTCTACCTTTTATAAGCTGCTTTTTACCCCTCTAAGTTTCCTCAGCAGCTCCTTATCCATCCAAGGAGGTCTCCTGGCCCTCCTGCTGCACTCCCTTCTAGTTGGGATGCAACACTCCTGAGCTTGTAGCAGGTGATCCTTGAATATCCACCAAGAGTCTTGGGCCCCCCTGCCCTCTAGGGCTGTATCCCATGGAACCTTCCAAAGCAGGTTCCTGAAGAGGCCAAGGTCTGCTCTTCTGAAGTCCAGGGCAGTGAGCTTGCTGCACGCTCTTCTCACTGTCCTGAGGATCTCAAATTCGACCATCTCGTGATCGCTGCATCCAAGGCTGCCCTGGAGAGTCACATTTCCAACAAGCCCTTCCCTGTTGGTGAGCACGAGGTCAAGCATGGCACCTCTCCTTGTCCGCTTCTCTATTACTTGCAGAAGGAAGTTATCTTCCACACAATCAATTCTTTTTTTATTTTCCCTCCCAAAACAGCAAAGAAGCTCCAGTGCTGGAATGTTCTGAGCTTCCCTTGCTCCAGCTAGAAATAGATATTCTGCAAAATGTTTCAAAGGAAAATCATAGCTACAATCTATGAATGTTTGCTACAGTACATACAGCTCAGTAATCACAGAACTATAGAATACCAGTTTAGGAGGGACCTCACGGGTCATCTGCTCCAACCTTGCCTGGTAAAATAATCAGCTGCTCTTTTCTGCAGTTGATCTTATTTTGACCTGTGTGTACACAAAACAAACGGAGAGACCAAATCTTGGGGCTTTTTATGCCATAACCAACAATTTTATTATATTGTAAAATACTTGTTTGAACTGCAGCTTCAAGTCTTGTAAACACCACCAGTATGGTGAGAAGGGAGATGTTCTGTATTCGCTATAGCCCAAGGCCAGTTTCTACCACTTCAAGTCATTTCTTTAATTTGGACTCTTACCAGTAATAAAGTGCAAATCTTTCTGTATCTGATATCATAAAGACCTATTACCAGGGAAAAATTATTGCTGTTCTCCAGCTGTAAAACTTGGGAGCTGTGGGAGTTTGCATACATCAAGCTTTTCTTTGGTTTTTCGGTAAAAATTGGTTCATACAAGTGACTTTCTTCCATCCGTCCTTTGTTTTCCTTAGTGAACAGTTCCATAGGCACTGAGCGGGGAAGTGCCAGCTGACAAATACACGTTCATGTGATCTGTCGTCTCAGTTAATGCAGATCTCACAGCCACAGCCCTGGCACAGGAAGAAGCGGCCACAGCAGCAAGTAGGAGAGCCTTTCCCATCCATTGCGCAGGATCTGTGTTAAGCGGAGATACCTTCCTCCAAGCCCCAGTGGGGGTACATCAGGAGTCACCAACACCAGAGTTTTCCATCAGTGTTACTATTTGATTGAGCGTAAATGATATTCGAGCCTCGACAGTCGCTCTTGTCAGAGAACAAATGGACAAGCCATTTGTTACTTGGAGACCTTTTGCTGACTAAACCCAGCCACAGCCAATCATATGAAGGATCTGGCAGTTTGCAACACCAACATTTCATTTTCTAGACAGGTAATTGATGAGGAAAGTTTAGGAAAGGCTTTGCATACGATTATCAGGAAGTGCTATATTACAAGTAAAGTCTGCCTCCATCAGCACTGTGCACAGTAGGCATTCTAAAGAGGGTTGAGGTAGTTATTCAGTGCAGCTGGTCAAAGCAAAGGAAAGGCTTGTGGGAGACCATTTCCCATTCTTCTGTTCCCAATATGATCAGAGGGATCTCTTACCAATCCAAAGCGTGGTCCCTGTCAGTTCTGGGAGGAGCTGCAATGCAGGGGCCATTGGCACTGCAGCCTTGGCTGTTTTCATGATTGAACTGGAGCAGACATGTCCACCAAAGACCCACTGGCCAGCAAGGGTGGGCTTTCACTGGGTCCAAATGGCTTTGTGCTGGAGCTTCAGTCTCCTGCCTCTGGTCTAGCTCTTAGAAGGGCCAGTTCCCATCTTCAGGAATGCTCCTTTTGCTTCATTTGGTTGGGTAACAGAGACAGGGAATGTGAGTGTATATCCACGTACACAAAGGGTCTCAGCAAGAAGAGCTCAGGCCTGACTGCACCTTTATGACCACGTGGGTTAAGTAGCTTTTATTTATTCCCTCAGCTTCCTTGTGGCCTGGTTGAGGTGGATCAAGAAGAGCTACTCAAGAGCTATGAAAGCTGATAAATTCATGAGGAAGACAAGAGCTGCAAACCTAATGAAGAATTAGAGCAGACGTGGGGCAGATGATTATATATGTGTAAGAACTCAGATTATTAGTACATTCCCGAAATTGGAAATGGCCTTTATGTGACCTCTCTGAACAATGCATGTTCTTTTGGCTGGAATTAACATAACATAGACTTGAAATAGCAGGAGATGGGTGGGAAAGAAGGTTTTACCTGATGTTTTTAACGGTTTCCTTTCTGCACCAGGGAGGAAGCATTTTACAGTCTCTTCGTATGTAAAGAGTACAAGTCTGTGGGTTACTGCAGTGGCTGACTGGTCTGTGCATCCCTGCCTGAGCCTGATGGAGAGAAAAGGCATTGGATTGCTCAGCTTGGGCTTTACCCTTTCTCCTCACACTAAGGGACCAGAGTCTATGTGTCATCCATCACAGAAGAGCAAGCTGTTAACTGTAATGGGACCCAGGATCCACAAACAGAACTTCATTCACTGTACGTTTTCTTCTTCTTTATATCAGTTATTCCTCAGTTTAGTGATTTAGAACAGAAGTTGATTTCAAACTTGTGGATTTTATGGTTTGGATCATCCTTTGAGGTTAAAGCTGCAATACGAGACATAATGATCAGAGGGCTGGAGCAGCTCTGCTCTGGAGCCAGGCTGAGAGCTGGGCTGGTTCACTCTGCAAAGAGAAGGCTCCTGAAGGGTAGCTCTTAGAGCAGCTCCAGTGCCTAAAGGGGCTGCAGGAAACCTGGAGAGGGGCTTGGGACAAGGGCCTGCAGGGACAGGCCAAGGGGAATGGCTTTAACCTGCCAGAGGGGAGGCTGAGATGAGCTCTTAGGCAGAAGCTCTTCCCTGTGAGGGTGCTGAGGTGCTGGCACAGGGTGCCCAGAGAAGCTGTGGCTGCCCCATCCCTGGCAGTGTTCAAGGCCAGGTTGGACACAGGGGCTTGGAGCAAGCTGCTCTAGTGGAAGGGGTCCCTGCCCGTGGCAGGGGTTGGAACTGGGTGAGCTTTAAGGTCCCTTCCTACCCCAACCAGTCTGATTCTGTGATGCTGCAACAGAGGCTTCAACATCAGCGGATCAGGTCCCATCCAGAACACCCCTGTCAGCCCTGGTGCTGGGTGTTGTTTGTTAGGATGGGCAGAGCCGGTGGCAAATTACTTCAGGTGATGTTACAGGGACCCGTGGCTGGTGGGGCTTTGCAGAGCCCAGCGCCTGGCAGGGCTCAGCTTTATGTTGAGCTGGAGGAGGCATTGCTCCTCCCTCCCTCCCTCCCTGCCTGCAGGTTCTGCTCGGGGTGGTACCTTCACCCAGCCTTGGGGCTGCTGTGCCCTGCAGCACATTGCTCTTTACAGCCCAGCCGGAGGCAGCAGCACTGGGAGCTGCCTGCAGAAACTGAAAGGCAAAGGAGAGGAACAGTGAAACTAAACAAGACTGGAGTAAGGTTCTTCAGTTCCCTGGTGCTGTCGTAGGTGGTTTTGGTGCTGCATTTGGGATTTTGTGTGGCCCTGGGGTGAAGTCCGGGGTGTGTGATTAAAACTGGGCTCCTTTGGGGGTGGGTAAGTCCTGTGCTTCCCATCAGACCTTTGCAGGGGATTTTCTTTCATCTGGTTTGCAGGATATAGGGAATCTGTTCCATGTTCTTTGGCTCTTTGTCTCCCTCTTTATCCTCTACAGCTCATGCGAGAGCCCCTGGCTGCTCTTCCCCACTTATTCTTCTTTATTTTCCCCTTCATCTTTCCATTGCTTTCATCCATGCGAGGAGGAAGAGAAACTTCCAGCCAGGGAGAATTATGACTCTAGAGTAAAAATAGATTTTTGAGGTTAAACAAAAGGCTCTTCACACTTTCAGAGTTTTCTGCATCACAGAGACATTCATTGTGAAGAGGCTTTTGGAAACCAGGATTTAATTATATCCAGTTCCAGTGCTGTGAAACTGAAGTCACACACTTGGGACTTTTGTCTTCTAAACCAGAATTCTTTATCCGGGGGGTTCTCTACAAACAGCAGTCCATGCGTAGGACTATTCCAGAGCTTTGGAGACCTTTAGATAAGCTTCCACCCTCCAAGGGCTCCTGCCTGGTGTCCCCTGGCATATGCTGCTGGAGGAGTTGACAAGGAGTGTCACCCCTTGTCCTGAGGCTGCTCCATGGGCTCGTCCCAGTGCAGGTGGCAGTGTTGGAGCAATGGATGGGTTCTCCAGCTGCAACCCCAGCACGGGCTTGCTTGGCCCAGGAGCTGTTTCAGGGTAGACGGTGACATCGGCTTCTGGTGAGCTGAGGTTCCCTTTGTGGTGGGGTTGAACATTACAACGTGTGCAGTGGGTTTTGCTTTATTAGCTAGGGTTGGAGAGGCAGAGGGTGCTGCTGTGGGGCCCCATTGAGAGAGGCAAGGAGGAGATCCTTGTGTTCCGTGTGGTAGCCGAGAACTGTTCTGACTGCAGGAATTCACAGCAGGGTTTAGCTGCTCCGCCCATGGGATGGTTCAACAGTGATGGTGGGCTGGCAGAACTGAACGGGTGGTGCAGGGATCGGGAAGCTGCTGCAGCAAACAAGACAATCCAGTCTGTCAGACCAAGACCAGCACGATGGGAAAGGTTCACTCCAGGGAAAGAATTGGCCTTGGGTGAGACACCTTGTGCTCACAGGTGACCCAGGGCCAGGTTAGTCAACACACAACATATGAGAATGCAGATGAAATTAGTTATACCCAGGGCTCATGGGTATTTATTTCATTATTAGCAGCCTATAACTAAAGCAATAAATCAAATCTCACAGAGAAACATGAAGATTCTGAAGAGAAACACTGGTTATGGAAAGGGCCACCTGAAGGAGTCAAATATTTGACTCAGTAGAATTAATAGACCCTATGGACCCCATTCTATTGACTCGGTAGACCCAGTAGAAAAGTGATGAATGCTGTCTTTGCGGGGGAGGAGGAGAAGTAGTGGTCGTGGGAAGGATTTAAATCTAAATTTATTTTGGAATAATAGCCAAATGTGCAGAGAACTCTCCTCAGTGCCACTGTTTCTAGGAAGTAACCATGAAGCATGCTAGTAAAACCAGTTTCCAATTTAAGGAAAATGCATCCAAAATGGGACATAAACGCCTTGAGGGAACGGGGGGGGGGGGTGGAGACAGACCCTGTACCACATATTACACCACAATTCATGTAGGCAAGAGTCTGCACTCCCCATTGACACAAAGGTAGCAATTATTGATGCAAGTAATCCCATTAACTGGGAAGGTTTGAGTACTCCACTGGGATTTGGGATCTGGAAGTGCTGGAGTCTGTTCTGGGCTCTATCCAAACAGATAACCAAGTGCAAAGCAATTGTGATGCACGTAGTTACAGCCTCTACATGTCCTTGCATGCAGGATAAGAGTTATAAAATAAACTCTCTACCCTGTGAGAGTATCTGTGGTTGGGTATCTACTGCATTAGAGGCTGGAACAAATCCTACTGACTATTCCCTGTCACCTGAGGATCTCCCATAGCAGACACCAGAGCTGGTAGCAGTGGCTGGTGTGGCTGAGGGTGTTCCCAGCTGTCACAAATGTAGAGTTGTTGTGGGCCGCGGGGCATCTTCTCCTATCTGCCAAAACCCCCATCCCAGAACAGCCAACCAACAAAACCCCAACCTCAGTGACCCTGAAAACAGTGATTTCCTCAGAAAAACACTTAATTGTTTCAGGGAAGAATTTTCTGCAGTTTCCCAGCAGCTGTGGACGCAGAGCTCCATTGCAGTGAATGGTTTAGGTGAAGACACAGCTTTAATCTAACTTAATTTTCCCCTGGGGAGAGGAACAAAGACACATGACAGATGTCTGCAATGTTGCCTGAATCACATCTGGAAGACTCGCACATCTCTAGTGCTGAAGGCTGTTTAAGAATACAATTACTCCACATAGGTACCTATACTATTGTGCAAAAACACATCTTTCAGCTTGTAAATCCAGGGGTCAGAGGAAGCTGAAGGCCTGGCCCCAGTTAGGAAGAACCTTGAGGAGGTAACAGACAGGAATGGAGATGCCAGACTGGTCACTGTGGGACTCCCCCCATCCCTCCATCCACCTCACACCCTGTACGGACACAGTGTGTGGGGAACTGAGGGATTGGTTTGTGTGTTTAGTGAGTTAGATTAGTCTGGAGGAGGAGGAGGTGGATGTCCCTGTCGCTGCTGTGAGTACGTTGTTTGGGTAGTCTCTTCCTCACTGGGGTAGAGTCCAAGCCCTTTGGCATGTAGTGCAGAGCTGCTTTTTCGGTGTAGTTTTTACCTGCTCAGGACTGCAAAGCTCCCATCAGCCCCATTTCACAGCCTTCTCACCCTTAGAGACCCCTGAGCTTCACAGAGTGTTTGGTAGCCTCTCCCTTTCCATGGTTGCCTTCTGTAAGCTGTAGTGCTTTTGCCCCACTGCCAGGAGGTTTCCGTTTCATCGCATCTCTTCCTTTTGAAAGGGGCACAGGTCAAAAACAGAAACATCCAAAAAACCATCAGCCCTTTCTCACTGATGCCTTCGAGGCCACCCTGGCGCTGGCAGGGCATCATCCGCTGGCACCACCACTGCCCAGTCAGGAGCTGAAGGACAGTATTGTTTTACATTACACTGTGCCTTCACACAGTGCAGTGCTATGGGTCAGGCAGGCAGCTGCTTCGTGCCTCTGGGGACATCATGGGGACCATTGCTGAATGACTGCCCTAGGAAATGACTAATAAAAGATGATTTATGTGTTCCCAAATTCCACTGGTTTTGGTGGGTTTCCTCCTTTTTTAGGCATTATATTTCATTCTCTCAGAGTGTTTTAGAAGAAGAAAGCAAATATAGAGTTTAATGTTGAATATTTGTTCCCACATGTTCTTCATGTACATTTTCCTGGGAGGGTATTGGAGTTTACAGTGTGTGTCTGTAAGTGTCACTGTCACTGGTAGCCAGCAACAGAACTGGCATGGGCAGTGTCTACTCTGACCCACAACTGGTGCTCACAAGGTCAGGTCATTCTGGGGCCTCCTTGGTACTATTCTGGCTTTCTTGGCCCAGGTTTGTGCTATAACTGGTTGTCCAGAGCACCGGAGTAGGGCATTCATGGTGAGCAGGAGCATCATGATAGCTGTTTCATAAGCTGCCACTTGGCAGTGATCTCTTCCTCTGCCCCTTTACCAGGACTGGGTGATGCAGCAGATCACTGGATCCCCCTGCCCAGGCAGCTCTAGCCAGTTTCAAATGCAAATCAAGGTGTTTCATTATCTCCATTGTATACTACAGCTTCCCCTTCAGAATCAATAATGTAGAGATTTGCAGGCAGGCTCATTTTCTTCCAACGCTGATTTAATCAGTTAATAATGGTTTCTCCCCTACCTCTTCCTACCTTTTTTCCCTTTTGTTTCTCATCTGAGCCACTGGAGAAATATTTCCTCTCATCTCATAGAAAGTAATGCATTCACAGCCATTCCGAGATACCAAAGATATATTTTTCTTATGCTGCTAATTGCTTTTCTTGGCCATTAGTTAATCAAAGTGGAGGAAGTAGAATGGGGGCAGACAGAATAAATAGTGCATGGTTGGAGTTGAACCAGGACTAGAGCTTTTAGGGGGGGTTGTTTCGTTTTCAGAGTGCTAAATTGTTCATTGTCTGCACACGGGTGTCTTGCTGGTGAATACATGTGTAGTAACTGTGAAGGCAGCGGGGCAGTTCCTCCATGGTGTAGAATAAGGACCACGTTGCTTCTGCAAACTCTAAGTGGAGGTTTTGGCAACATGGTGATCTGAAGCAGTGCATAGTTCTAATGCAGGCTCGTCCCACGGCTGAGCTCAAACATTTGTTTCCACTTAAAAGAGCCCCTTTTTAACCTGTCCTGCATGCAGGGGAGCAGGGGTTGGGGTTTGGGGTTTGGTTTTGGTTTTTTGATGGTAAAATTTAAGATAATCCTTCTTCCCAGTTTCCTGGCACTGTTGTTGTGTGAAAAGCTTGTATGGAATGTGAAACCGAAGCCTTGTATTAGCATAAACATCTCAAGGTCTTTCATCAAATCTGTTAACACTTGCTGTCAGTGTGTTTCATCATGGCTCTCTAATGGGATTATGCTGGTACTGGCTAGACAGACAGTCACAAGTTCATTCTTGCTTCATTTGGGTTTTCTGTTGGTGTTTTTTCCTGCCTTCTGTGGCTGCCCCATCAGTTTTGGCAGATTTGCTTGGCTCAGATTGCCGAGACAAACCAGTTTCTAGATTTCTCCTTATTTGGAGCAAGTGCCCTTATCCCTATTGCCAAGAATATCCCACACTGGGTGGGAAGGGCCAGGAGCTCAGCACAGTCACTGGGGGCTGCAGTTCCCAGAGGAAGTCTGGGCTAGGGTGTCGGGGCAGCAGTGCAGGATGAGAGCCTACGTGCAGGGCAGGCTTTTCCCTTGTCACCTCATAAACACCAGCTTCACAGGACTGCTGACATCTTTGATAGTCCTCACATCTTAATTTGATGCTGAGGTGAAAGAGAACTTTTTATCTCAAACAAGGCTTTTTTTTTGGTAGGAGCTTCCCTGTTTACTTGAGTGCCATTTAACCATCTCAAGATCCATAATACATGTAAAGATTCCCAGAAATGTGAGGGGTGTTCTGATCTGCTCTTTATTTCTTATGTTCTAGAATAGACTATAAGAGTGTTTTTATGAGCTTCCTGAGGAAATTACTGCCATTCTTCATTTTTGTACTGAAGGGCCATTTTAGAAACAATGAGCAACCACGCAACTCAGAACAAAAGGGGAAAAGCATTAATATATATACTTATGGGAAAAGGAGAAGATGTTAAAATAGTCTTAATGATTCAAGGTGGCAGAATGTTTTTCTTTGAGTATGGAGGAAGTTAGGTTTGGTGACTTCAGTTGAGATTATTATAATCCTCTATACCTGCCCTGTCGCACACTTACAGTTGGCTCCTGTGTTCTTTGGGATGTTGCAGTACAGTTGGTCAGGGAGGAGCATCATAAAGGAGTAAATGGAAAAACCACATAAAAAGGAAAACAAAAAGCAGGTCACCCATGGAAAAAATCAGAATGTCTTTTAAGTGCAATTGGTTAAAGCAATGACTGAAGTAGTTGCAGTCATCCCAGCCATGCAGCCAGGTAATGATCAGCAGACTTGATAAATGTTTTAAACTGGTTCATAATTAGCACCTCGAGGCATTCCCATCCGTTCTGTCATGCCTACGTTTTCTCAGCTACAGACAGAAGAAATGCACATCCAAAAAGCCACGGACAGAAGGCGTGAGCTGTTTACTACACAGTGAGCTCCAGATCCTTGCATGATGGTGTACACATTGGAGACTCAACGCTGGGACAGACGCTTCTGGAGGCTTTCCACCGTCAAGAGTTGGAAAGCACCGTTTTAAGACATCCCTGCCAGGAATTACATCCCTGAGACCATAAGTGCTGAGGTTTACCATGGTTCAGTGGATGCAGTTTAGTTCTGAGTTCTTGGCAAGATTAGTCTCTAGACTCGCATGAAGTCATCACAGTATGGCATGTGGCTGGCTGAAAAAGTGGAGCAAAGCAGAACTCCCCCTTGCTGAAAGCTGGCAGGAACAGAAGGGAGGAATATTTCTGACTACATGAGTGCAGAGCTTTGATGGGGAGCTAGCTGGCTTCAGTGGTTTATAACAGACTGACTCATTGTGGAAGAAAGGAGCCAGAGGAGTGGGTAGGTTTCTTGCTGGTGCTCCTGAATCCACAAGCGTGGCTGGCATCGAGAATGTGAGCACACAGTGTTAGTGGTTGATAACAACTGGGCTGCCCCAGCTAGCAGCTGTGGCCAGGAGACTGCATCTTTCCATCTGCACCTGGCAGAAAGGCTGGGATCTTTCATGGGAACGCAGCGCTGCTGCATCTGTCTGTGACCCTGTCCCCTTAAGTTTGGATGGTGGTACAGCCCCTCTGCTGCTGAGATGGAGGCCAACCCAGAACATGGCAACTGAGTTCTTGGGCCTCATTTCCGTTGATGATGAGGCCTTAGTGGGGTGTAAATGGATTTCAGGGGATATAAATCAAACCTGTCCTCACCCTGTGGCCACCTTACCCACACATTATTGCATGCAGAATGATGCAAAATCGTTTGAGTGGAAACTCAAACTCAGTAGCCTCTCCTCCCTTCTGTCCTCTGTGAAAACACGGTGGGACTTCACCCAAGAGCTGGTTTGGCTGTGGCCCTTCATAGGGATGCTCTGTGCAAAGCGTAGAGACCAGCTGTAGTGTGGGCACCTCCTCTGGAGGGAGACGAAGGTTGAATTCTTTGTACTGCTACAGACTTGATGTGACCGGTCAAATCAGTCAAACCCCCTTTACCTGGCTCTCCTCCCCACAGTGGGAAACACACCGGCCCTTAACACACATTGCATGAACATGGAAGATAATTTTTTTCCCTCTAATAAAAACAAATGCTGCCCAAGCATCTAAAATATGAGGTTAGGGTATTTCCTGTTTGCTTTGGTGTTTGTTTTGGAAAGAACTGAAACTGATATTGCTGCACCCACCAGCTTTTTGCCTCTTAACTCTTCTTTTTTTTTCTAGTAAAAGATTTCTCTTGAGGGTTTTAGACTGATTTTACTGTACACACATTGCACTGAAACAACTTGTAACTTTTTCTTGTGCTTACTTTGAGAGCTGGGTCCTATTAATAGAATTTCATATGGCAAGCATGTAATATCCATGCTCTGTGATCTCCGCCACTAGCTTTAGGTATGGAAAGGAGATTAATGCTCATCTAAAAGCCATAATTTATTTGGAAATGCCTATCTACAAGTGTACCTTTTCCCACGTTGCTGTGGGAGGGGTGAGAAGGAGTGATGGACAGCAGCTCCAGCTCTGGGAACAGATGGAAGGTGCAAAGCAGAGATCTTCAAGAGGAGCTGACATTTAAAGCACTATAAAGTCTGCAGGGAGAGATAATATTGTTCGTGAGATATAATGATATACTTGGAAAAAACAGAGAAGCTTTAGAGCATGCAAGCTGCAAAACCATTTTGAGCCTGAATACTTACTTCTTTCTACCAGTTTACCCTTATGTGCAATAAAGATGTTATCTCTTCCCTCAAATTTGTCTTGCTCGTGTTCCAATACTTTCATGTCCAAAATTACACGAGTAGGATTTGACTTTCTAACTTAATTTCCCATACTTGATATTGATGTCTGCATTGGCCCACCTTTAACGCATGCTGTATGTCCTCATGTTTGGCAGAGGATGTGGGAGTAAGGGTGTCTTTGCTGTCCTCATTGGTTTTACTGCTGAATGTTTATCCATAAAGTCAAAATAAACAGTCATTTGTACTGGCTCTTAATTTAGATTGTGGATATCATAAGTACTTGAGTAACGTCATTGTTTGTTATTTAGGTTTAAAGCAGCAGGCATGAGTAACTAAGACAATACAAATACAAATCTACTTAATTATCTGAGCCTTAAGTGCAAGCCAATAAAACCAAATCACAAAACAAGAAGCCCATGTGAGTTACTAAGATAGGAAAGGCTTCAGGTAGAATTTATCTTTATTATTAATTTTAAGTTGGCCAAATCCTGCATCTCCTCAGTACTGAGGGGAGGATGTCTAAGGGTTATAATGGGCTACACCATGATAAGCGATGACAGAAGATGGTGGTAAATGCAATGTGTTCCTTATTTAGACAGGCAGCAACAGGATGGTAAATGATAGATACTGATCTTCAGGTCCTATCAAAGCTTTCGGGAGAACAGGATTAGGGCTGCACTGGGTAACATCCACTTGCAGATGGAGCATCTGGCACTGTGACCAGAACTTTATCACCATTCAGAGTAATGTGATGTACTCAAAGAACAAGAATGCTCAATTTTTCCTTCACTGGTTTCCTGATGGAAGACACAAGTCTCATGAGAAGAAGAACAGGTTAGGTTAACATCTCCTGGTACTCTAGGATTGCTGCCCCTCTCTCCAGTTTCTCCTGGCCTGTACCCTGATGGCCTCCCCAGACACCAGCACTGTGGAATGCAGAATGTATACATATTTTCTTGGGAGACAATGTTGGCTGTCTCCAGTTTTGGCATAACTTGTCTCTCCTGTGACAAACCTACTGAATCTTTAGAAAGAATTAGTTAGAAAATGAAAACATAAAGCCAACCAGTAAACACGACCGTCTTTGTACGTTTAAACACACCACTACCTCTGCTGTGAAGTTTGCTGCTCCTGGTTAGATGCCATATTGAGACTAATGAAGTTGGAGCAGTCACTGATCTCACCCTGTAAGTGATGGAGCAGTGTAAGCTGAAACCAAAAATAAACTCATCTGCTATCAAGGACAATCAGAAGCTTTCACAGGGAATTTCAAAGCAGATGGGCAAAAAGACTGTGAAAGATGCTGCTTTATTTCTTTCAAGGAATATGTAACAAAAGAACACAATTGCCTCTTTTTTGTTTTTATCTTTTATTTTTTTTCTTCCTTTAAGTATTGTCCCTTATCCGTGTGGTCTGTTAAGGCAGTAAGTGTGTTCATTTTCCTTTAAGTAGAGGATTGCCGGGCTAGGTAGTTTACAAGATGCTCACAAGGTTTAGGAGACTTTGGTCTAACTCCTTCCTTCAGAAAATACCATCTCTAAACTTAGGCAACTAGGTTATGCTCGTAGAATATTTTTCACAATAGATTCTTTCTTTCTTTTTTTTTTTACTGCTTTCCCCTGCACTGGGGTTTTCTCCCTCTCTGTTTGAAGTGGGAGGAATAACAACTATGCCAGAGTGGAACTCTTAAAACACTGCCTGTATTCTTCAGTAATGTGGAGAAAGAAGAGTTGACTCAGGAAGAAATCCCTTTTCTTGGTCTATGTGTTTGAAGGGGCGATGAGTGCAGCTATGACTATCCAGTGTTTCCCAGGACAAAAGTGGGTAACGGCAACTGGAAAGAAAGAAATGTCAGCTGTAGCTGGGAGAGGGATGAGATTGCTTTGCCAGCAGAGGAGGGGAAAGCAGACTGGGTGGGAATAATGAATGGAGGAGCCAGGGCGGCAGGAGAGGGAACTGACCTGCCCACAGAAACGAGCCTTGAGAGAAAAGAGGACTCTGTCCTTGAGAGTCAGGGGCACGTTTTCAGAGACAATTAAGACCTGTTATAAAAAATAAATGCTGTTTCTCCAAGGCTCTGAGCATGCCAGTGCTCCTGAAGTTGCTGGACTTTCCTGAATGGTTGCCATCAGCCAGTGACAATGACATTCTCTTTACCCCATGAATATGTGAAGGGAAATTAATGCATTCTGCTTCCTTCAGAGTGGGAATCTGGAGGGGCTCTCGTGAATGAGACAGGAGGGAAATGGGTAGCAGGACAGTTTCTAAAGATAAGTTAGCTGTAAGGACAGGAGTGGGAACTCTGCTGCGTGGGCCCGGAGGGGATACCACCACATATGGCTCAGAGGAAAGCTGGTTTGCAGTTATCTCTTTCCTTTGCTAAGATTAAAATCTTGGAGTCTTTCAGGAAAAGGCTGCAAATCTCAGAGCAATGTTGAAGTTGCAATGCGGCTCTTTCAGTCTGTGTGAGTTACAGAGGGGGCTTTCTACCTAAGCAAGTATTTTGGTACTGAATTAATTAGCAGTTCTCTTACTGCAGCACTTTTACTGGCTATGCTCCCACACCTGCATCTCCACCTTTCCTGCCTGGAGCCCCAGTTGGCTTGTCAGCCAGGCTTGGAGTACTGGGCACAAGTCATTTGTGATGTAATGCACCATCTCAACAGAGTTATACCCACAATGATCTTGCTTAATTATCTCTTTGATTGCATAAGCTAGTGCTAAAACAGACTCTGCAAACTGACTAACCCTGCACTAGCATCCGAAGTAGACTGTTTTTAGTGGGCAGTTGGTGATGTCCTCACAGCATGATCACATAGTGCACAATAATAGGAGGAGGCAACACCACAGCTGTCATTCCCCTCTTGGTTTCAGCATTCCCCCTGGTTATGCAAATGTTTTTGGTTTTACAAGTCAAAATAGAAGTATGGCTAATGGCCACTGCCTTCAGTTATGCCACAAATTTATGTAACCAATGTAGCCTGGCTGCTAAAGAAGGCATTAAACTGCTGAGTTGGAGCAAATGCAGGTCAGGGTATGTGCTGAGACAGTGTTTTGTGAAACATGTAGGCAAAAACTGTAGGATGCACAAGGGGCAAAAACCAGCTTTTGAAGGCAACGGGCAGTGCAAATGGCTAGGTTTCATTTAACTCTAGGGTTACTGGTAGCACCTCAGTATGTTTCCTGCACTCCTAAAGTTCTGCCTTCTACACCATTGTCCCTGCATGGATCTAGAGGCCTTGGAGGCAGGATCAGGCTGCCTGCAGGCAGCAGACAGGCTGTGAGGCTCAGATCCTATATTTGCCTTCACAGCACTACAACCAAACTATTGTGCCATCTCAGATAACATTGTTCTGAGTGGAAACAACATCTAAGTACTATACATAGGCCAGAATGAGAAAAGTATTGTTAAAGATTTTGTCACTCATGATTAACTGTTGCCAGAACTATTTCTCAGCTGCAGAGGACAAAGATTCCTTCTAAAGGGGAGCATCAGCTGATTTAAAACTAAACAAAATTCACAATGTTCCATCACATTCATCAGCAGAAATAGTCAGAAAGATGATGGGTACCACCACCCTGCCAGGAGAAGTATGACCGACATCAAGCCCCACTCCTCAAGGGTTTCTTTCAGAACTAAGCAAAATTCCAGACATTCTCCAACCAGAGATTCAATTCTGTTGTAGTCCTGCTTTCCCAACAGAACACAGTTACTCACAGAGCATTCAAACTGGGGTCCTTGAGATCTTGAGGGCTATGTAAGCCAAGCGACTGCTTCAGGAGCAGCAGGGTTCCAAGGATGGTCTGGTTTGCCTTCCTAAGAGGTGCAATCTAAGCAAGAAACCTTGAGTCTTCCATCCAAACTAGTGTTCCAGGACTCATCTATTCACCGGAGAAATCTAATGAGAGTTAATAGAAATGCAGGATGAGATCTCCCCAACCAGAGTTAAATTTTAGCATCTTTTAGAATTGTGTGGCTTTGCAGTACAACAAAAGGTAGGGGAGTAAAAGAGCATGCTAGAAATGTTGTAGTGAGTAATGGTAATTGTGATGGATGCATTTCAGCTGCTATAAATATACAACTTATTGTAAAGGATTTGTGAAGGGGAAGTACTGAACAGTCAATCTGAGGAATTATATATGTATTTCTTAGCAGCCTTCAGAGTGGTTATTTGTGAAAGATGTGCTTGTTGTGTTCCACTTATATAAAAACTGTACACAGGCAAGATTCTGAGCCTCATGTACTCCATAAGTAGGTTGTGCTGAAGGAGTGTTTTCTGGTGTGGGGTTGGGAGCTGTGGTGGGGTGGGGTATATGTTGGGTTTTTTGGGAGGGAGGGGGTGTTGTGGTTTTATTTTTTAAGTATTATTAATTTTTGTTTGTTTGCTTGTTTTAAACAGCTTCTTGTGAAATGGTATTGAAAAGAGGGGGAATACAGCCTTTCCCTTCCATGGCACTAGGGCAGACAGCAGACCCACTGTTACATCAGTATACTTCAGTGCCGCACTACGAACTGAATGTACTCTCTACTCAAGAGTAGAAGATGAGCACATATGTATTACCCTGTGCTTGAGGGAAAATACAGACAGACTGTACTATGAAATGATTAGGTACAAGAAGACAGAGAAGGCTTGGATTCCTCTGTCACTATTAATTTACACAGCCAGATAGAATATTTTCTCTCCCTAATCTTCTGATTACCTTCATATTCAAATTTAAATTAAAGAAAATAAGAACTGGCCAGAAGTTCTCACCTTTAGTTTCTGTGCTCTTTAACTATCAGCATGTAGCAGGGTGTCATACGGCAACATGCTTCCATAACAGAGCCTTCTGGCTGGAAGGTTTTGGAATGAAGCATCAGTGATGCATGGCTCATAAATCTGAGAAATTCAGAGTACTGATTTATACTTTAATTCAAGTACGCATCATACATATATTAAGATTCCAATGCTTAACTAATATAAAGGTCAATGGAATGCATAAGCTTCTCTCTTCCTACATTTTTAATTTCCACATTTTGGTTCATTTGGGCATATGTGCACACAGAGCAATCAGGAAGCTTAATCCAGCAGTTTATAAGGAAAGCTATAGTGATGTATCTTAATCAAAATTCAAATTACTTTCTTCTGGGGAAAAAATTATAGCTGTCAAACCATTGCTGTGCTAACTAGAAGTTTATCACTTTTGTTATATAATCTCTGGGGAAATTAGATTACAGAGCCACTGTCTGACTCTAAAGGCCTATACGCCAAGCTACAACAAAATGCCTTGATCCATAACCTGCTACACTGACAAAAAAAAAATGGAGCCTAGGATTTATAAATAACAGTGACGTTGACATAGGTTCATTTGCAAAGATGTTGCATCCATAGATCTGCATTAATCTGTAACTGCTTATGTGCAAGGACTTACTTATAAAGGTTAGGAAGAAATATTTGTTAAGATTTACAAGTGAGATAAGATTTATCTTGGAGTTTATAATTTCAATTATATACAATTAATAGCAGTCATAATTTAAGACTTCTGGTTCATGAAAGGCTTTGCATATTGATTAGTTCTCTCTTAGTTTTCAGTTAGACATTAAGAATGCTGTCATTAGAATAGTTTTTTAAGGACTGTAGGTTTTCATCTTGAAATAGACACCAATGGGACAGATCTGGTTTTTATGGTGTAACACTTGGGTCCTAATTAGCTAGATACAGAATTTGGGATTTGCAGTGGCAGAATATTAATGTGAGAGCTAAAGGCTTTGGTAGTGAAGGTGAACATACAATTTTATAACTGTATATATTGTCTACATCTACTGGGTGTCTCCTTTTAAGACTGTAATAATATCAGTATGCAGTGTTACCCTGGCAGTATCTGTTTGGTCCAAGGCCCTGGTTAGGTATCTGCGGTATAGGGCGGTTGTGGTCAGCAGGGACAATGAGGGAAAGACACCCTCCAGCCACAGCTTTCTGTTCCACATGACAAGTCTCCTGGGATGGGGCAGTTTCTTGCCCACTAGATCAAGTTGTCTGAATGCTATGGCTCCAAAGGTCTGTCTCCTGCAATAGGGATGACCAAGGAGCAGAGATTTTCTGTGGAAAACATCTTTACCCATGAAATCTCAGGTTCCAGAGGCTGCAAGTTCCACAGGGATGCAGCTACTGTGCTGACTCCGTATTCCCAGGGGAAGTAGGTTGTATTTGCAGACAAATCTGGTTCTATTTGTGTTTTATACCACTAAAGTACCACACAGTTTCCAGCATCTTTGACCTTTTGTCTACTTAAATCCTGAATATAAAGTAGGAGAAGGGATGTCCACACAGGAATATTTTAGCACTCTCTGGGAAGACTGGATAATGGTATGAGAGCATCAAGGTTTCTTTTAAATGCATGATGTAGAAATCTAAATAACTATCGTGTCTATGAATTCTTCCAGACTGGTATCAGAGGAGAAAGCTCTTCTTCAGGCCCAGAAAGTCTTCAAGTAGAAGACAAGTACTAACAATCCAAGTTTTCCCAGTTTGACAATGTCCCTCAGTTCTCTCAATGTCAAATCATTCAATGCATTGCTAAAAATACTCTCCTTATGCACAAAGCCAGCCTAGATGAAAGGCCAGCATTCTTTGAAGAGGAAAGCATCATAGCTGTCTGTGCTGATTGACTTCTCCAAAAGAGCATTCTGCAGATAGCTGTTCATCTTGCTGAATGGATTAGCTTTGGCTCTGCTCACACCCTCTTTGTATTTCCTCCTGTAGGAACATATAGGCATCAAGGGCTTTATTTTGCTATGGGTATACTAGCTGGAAGCTAATTTTAACTTGAAAGTGTGGACACCAGCAAATGATGACTTTCAATTTTGCTTTTGAGGTCTATTTTGATCACAAATATTAAAAGTTTTGCTCATCCTGTTAGGGAACTAGAGCAACGTGTGTATCTTGTAACAGTTGAAGCTGCTGTTTCCTATTTGGGTAGTTCATTAGCACAATAGTAAAACTTGGCAAATAAATTAATCATTCAAATGCTGTTAGTTGATGCCTGCATTTGGATCGTATTTGATCTGAGGCTAATAAAGTTCCAAATTAAACAACACTTAACACTCTGGAGCCCCTATTTCTCACTTGCAGTGAAGATCCTGTGCTCTTTGGTACAGCCGCAACATTTTGGACCACCGTAATGTTAGATGATGTGTAATTATGTGACAGGCTGTCCATTTCTGAAGCAGCTGGAGTATAGGTTATGACAAGATACAGTGAGTGGATCAGACAGATTGAAAGACGAACTGTGGAGGATGAATTGAGGAACTAGGCAAGTGATGTTGCAGTTAACGTCATGGGAATAGTCCTAAATAGCTTTTTCAGTAGCCATCTTCTTACTCCGATGTTGTGGCAACACTGTAAGGAGGGTGACGGAGGTTGGCATGTCATGTTTCCAACAACTGAAATGTCCTGGACGGATGGATGAAATTCTCCTGGAATCTGCCTTAATTTGAACATGATGTAAATGCCTT